TATTCAGAAGGAGAGAGTCACAAAAAGTTCACCAAAAATATGTGGTGAAAGCAAACACAGACAATCATCTGATAGTGTTTATGTATGCCTTTTGCCCGCGCCGCTCAAAGAGTCGCAATGGCCGAGTGGTCAAAGTATTAGGCTGGCAGCGGAGAGGGTCCGGGTTCAAGTCTTCCTCGGCCGTAGAAGATTTTTTATTATTTTTTTTATTTAGTTTTTTTTTTATTTTTTTATTTGTTTTATTTTTTTTTTAACAATCTTAAGATTTTAATGTTTTATAAACAAAAAAAATAATTTTTTTCAATACATTTGTATGACATAAAAGCATTTTGGTTTATTTCCTAATGAAATTCTTGTTGAACAAATTTCCTCGCTTCATTTTCGCGTTTTTTTTTTAATAAAATGGAAAGAAATAAGCTTTTTCTCCATACTTCTATTTTTCTGACCTGGTCTTAGCCAGCTGACAAATTAGTGACTTATTTTTGAGACTAGACGTGAGACAGCGTACTGAATACCAAATAGTCTGAAAATCCAAGTTCACCACCAAAAGTCACTATTAGTGACTAGAGACCGCTTACTGAGTGCCAGGGTTAGTGACCGCTTACTGAATCCCAGGGTAACCATAGCTACGTTGTACGCACACCGCAGTCAAACAGTATACATACATTGCACACATACATTTTGGAAGTCAGCGTATGTACTAAACGTGAGCACAAAACATTTTGTTTGCATAGTCTTCTGTTCTCTTTTCACTGAAAGTATTATTATTTTAATAGCTTGCAAAATTTTATAAAGACAAGACAAAAGTAGAAAATAAATAGAATAAGTAAACTTTTTAATATACCACGCATTTATAAATGGACTAAAAATTAGAAAATAATATTTCTCAGTCCCATAGAATTTGTTTTGATAAATTTTGATTTTGAAATTTTAGCAAAGTCATTATAAACAATTTATGAGATTGAAAATGAAAAGCGTGGCGCGCATGTAGTAGACCAGAATTGATATGAAGAGTAATATATGTATGTACGTATGTGGGTATATGGGTATATGAGTAACGACCGCTTAACCCTAGAATACTAACCTTATTTTTTATTCCTTTAATACTAACGTTCGCCTGTGAGGCTACTTTGAAAAAAAGTACAAATTCTGTCTTTCTAAAACCTTAATTTAAAAAGAAATGGGCTTAAACATATTTCGTATGTTTTTAAAGTAAAAAAATAAAATAATTGAATAATTTTTTTAATATTAATAAAAATAATTCGTATTGAAAATAACACATATTTTATAATCTTTTTAAAAGGGGTCATTTAAAAAAATAAAAAAAAAGCATTTAAAAGCGAACGCACTCAAACAATCCATAAATTATCTTATTCGTATTTACTTTCACACTTAAAAGGAATTAGTTGTTTATCTTTTCTATTGTGACCTGTACGTACAAATTAAATCGACTTTTTTGTATCACATTGGGCCTTATGAATAAAAATTAAGCAATGCTTTTTTCTTAAAATTTCAGATCCTTTTCCTACTCCTTTCTCCTTCTCAGGGCTGGCATCGAGTCAAACCCAGGGCCAGAAACCTACACCTGCTGTGTATGCCAGAGACGACTAAACCACAACTCCACATCTGTCAAGTGCAATGCTTGCGAGGGGTGGAGTCACCTCATAGTCTGCTCAGGACTACTTACACATCGGCAGTGGACCACATCTTTTGTGGCCCCCTGTTGCTCTAACAGAGCAGCCTCCACGGCTAACCCCAGTCCACCTGAGCAGTCCCACACAAACACCACAGCACAACAACATAACACAATAGACCACACCACAACGGCTACAGACCACAGAACACACACAACCACACCACCACCCACACGCCGCCGCCAACAACTCTTGGCTCCTCCTACAATCTGCACGGTATGTCAGACCAGGATATTCCGTAATGTGACATCAGTCAAGTGCAACACCTGCCTTGGCTGGTGCCACTTTAGGGCATGCTCAGGTCTGCGCACCACGCGAGATTGGTCGAGGAACTTCGAGGGCCCGTGCTGTGCTGCTCGGTCGCAGACCTCAACTGCGACGCCTCCCGCCGGAGCTGGAGATTCGGCAACTAGTAAACGTACATAAGCGGAAGAAGTGGGAAGAGCATCTGAAGACCTGCAACTTCACCTCTGGTGTGAGTAAGCTTTGGTCAACCGTGAGGTCACTGTCCAATCCGACGAAGCACGACGACAGAGTCGAAATTTCTTTCGGCGACCATGCTTCGTCGGACCCGGAGCGATGCGCGAGCTATTTTAGCCGGCAGTTCATACTGCATCCTCTGGTGGACAAAGCCAGGCGTCGAGTGACCAGAAGGCTGCGCAAACTGTCAACAACCTGTGCCCANCAGTACTTGGGGCAAAGACAAAGAAACGTTGCTGGAAACATACAAGGCAATAGGCCAGCCGGTTTTGAACTACGCAGCACCAGTGTGGTCGCCGGGGACTAGTAGGACGCAGTGGACGAAGCTACAGACGGTGCAAAATACAGCACTTAGGACAGCGACTGGATGCCTCCTGATGTCACCAGAACACCACCTCCACGACGAGGCGAAAATGCTCCCAATTAGGGAGCACAACACCATGCTCTGCAAGCAGTTTCTTGCTGGGAGCCACAGATGTGGCCACCCAAATAGACAGCTGCTTGCAGAGGAGCCCTCGCCGTGGCACGTCAGGAGGCATCTATATGAACTGACGGACGAAGTCCAGAGGTTCATTAAGCAACCTCTGGACCCGTCAGCTCACAGTCAGGCCCTGAACGGCATTCACAGGGACGCAGTCTCGAGTTATGTAGACTTAAGACCTGTGAATGCCGTTCTAGGCACACAAACACCGGACATTGACGCGACGGAGCTCCATCTGCCTCGGGGGACCAGGACAACAATAGCCCAACTTCGCTCTGGCTACTGCAGCAAGCTAAATTCCTACCTAAGTAGGTTAAATGCGGATGTGCCGAACGAATGTCCGGCATGCGGAGGGACCCCTCACGACTCGAAACATCTCTTCGCGTGCCCGGAAAACCCCACAACCCTAACGGCGTCGTCCCTATGGACCGACCCCATAGAGGCTGCACGCTTCTTGGGGCTGCCGTTAGTGGAACCTGACGACAACGACTGAGATATTAGCCTACCTGGGCGGGGTTGTTGTAGCCGCTACAACAACAACAACCTTTACTACTAACGTTCGCCTGTCAGGCATCAAGAGGGCTTGGAACCCAGCCGCGCAAGGCCACTGTACAATGTGCGTTTGCTAACAGCCTCGTACAGCGCTAAGCTGAGTTGGCGCGAACGTTTACTTTGATCATTAAAAGCGTTCCTGATATCGCGCGGAAACCGAATTCGTTCCGCCTCACAGGCTTAAAATCGATCTCACATTTGTACTTTCTCTGGAGAAATGTTGGGTCTATGCTATGAAGTTTTTAACCGACTTCCAAAAAAGGAGGAGGTTATCAGTTCGTCGGTTTTTTTTTGTATGTTACCGCATAACTTTGGACCACGTCAACCGATTTTTGCATCGGAAAGGTTGTGTCTCAGAGGTGGTCCCATACTAATCTGATTAAGATCCGATCAGTGGATCATGAGATATATATATATTATATATTTTTTTTTTATATGAGAGTTGAAGTCGGTTTTATTTTGCTAAAAATTACTTGTACTATTGTCAATTAAATCTTTGTATTGCATGCGCTATACGTTTTTCGTTTTCAATCTCATAAATTGTTTATAATGACTTTTGCTAAAATTTCAAAATCAAAAGTTATCAAGATAAAATCTATATTATTTTCTAATTTTCAGTCCATTTATAAAAGCGTGGTATATTAAAGTTTTTTTATTTTATTTATTTTTAATTTTTTTGCTGGCGGTGTCTCGAATTTTCTTCCATACAAAGTATGTTTGACACATTTTTTGTATGGAATAAGATGCCCAGCATCGTAAAAAAATCCCAATCACTTTAATTAAATGGGCTATAATTACGGTGACCATAAATATGGATTCAAAATGAAGGACAATTTTTCAAAAATATGCCTACATATATTTACGTAGTATAAAAATATCAAAAGAGTATTTATGATTCTAAATTCTTAATACATTTTAAACTTTAAAAATGAATCACGTTTTCTTCATCGATATTAATCTTTTTTACATGAATATTTATCAAAGTATAGTGAAACATATTATAATTACAATAGCTTACACGAAAAGTGAAAATCTTTAAAAGATTATTTTATAGGCAAATGTGGAGTCGTTCAAAACGAAAACAATACCCGTCTTTTCTTTTTTTTTTTGGTACTTTTCGCAATTATTTGTCAAAAATCGACGTCATAATAAAACAAAAATATATAATTTGTGCAGGTTGCGCTCCATAGCATCTACATTCCTAATCCGATTTTTATTATCTTTGGCTCAAAGTTTATTGTAATGATATATCTTCTTTATCAAATTTTTAAAATAATGAAAAAAAAAATAAAATGAAACGCCTGTAGCAGTAATAATTTTCATTGAAGTCGCCACAAGTTATATATTTTGGGAAGAGGCACATCAATACCCTTCGAGCTGTAAGTCGCTTACGTTGCTTTGGAGATTTTTTCATGAGATATTGAAGAAAAGCTACGAAAAGTACCAAAAAAACACTTTTTTGAAAAAATCCATCCATTGGAAAAAATCAGTACATTTTCAGGTTTTTCAGGTTTGAAAAACTACGCAGGACCGACCTTCGAAAAACAGTACGGTCCTGCAAAAAACAGAACGGATGGTCACCGTAGCTATAATACTCCGTAAGGATCGAACTGCAAATAAGTCCAAAAACATTTTTTGTTGTGCTAAATACATTGTTCCTCTGCATATAGACTTAAGACTGCAGGAGGTCCAGTTCAGTGTTCACTTTTGCTTCGCAGTCTGCATAATTTTGTATTTTCTTTGCAACATGTTAAAATTTTTTCACAGCTAACTACATTTTTATTGGTATACAGATTGCTGCGCCACAAGAACGCCTATACTCTACATGGATGGGAGGCTCTATTTTAGCGTCTCTAGACACTTTCAAGAAAATGTGGATTTCAAAACGGGAATATGAAGAAGAGGGACAACGGGCGGTGCATAGAAAAACCTTCTAAAGGAGTAACTAAAATGTTTTTATGCTAACGACTGCAAACCAATCGTTTTAATGGTCATTTTATCGAATGGCAGCAGAGTTAAGAAAAAAGGCCGAAACATCAGAACGTGTACTGTGAAAACTGTAAATTTAAATTATTTGAAAACAAATCTATAATACTGATTCGTAATATATTTGCATCGCTTAATTGTATTATAATTAAAATTGCTTATAAGAAATCTATATCAAGTTTGAAATCAGTGCAAGGATTAAAATTTTATAGCAGTATTTTCCACATAATAAAATATGCTAATGAAGTAATAGACTTTCACCCTTGTGCGGAATGCTAGGTACAGGTGGACCTTTAACCAACTTTAAAAAAGGGTTTTGTCATTCCCTTAACTTTTTTCTAATGTCTTCTGATTATTCTCAGCTGATCGCGATGAGAACAGTGGCATAACTCATTATAACTCCATAAATATGTAGCTGAATTCATTCTTTCTAACCCTGGAAGTGTTCCTTCCTTTTACCCTGTCTGTGTGCTTGTTAATCGAAGCAACTAAAACCAACTTTGAATTTAAATAACAAACATACAAAAGTTAAAAAGGAAAATACATTTTATAATTTCTACTTCTTTATATTTTTTAAAACACATTAACATCCCTGCCAGCCACGGCTCACCACTTTCCCCTAAAATTCAAACGATTTACAAACTCATTCACAACTTTTTAGTCATCTCACCCACACACTTACAAATTTTTTGTTAGAACTGTCAAAAAATGTCCCTTTGTTAGAGCTACATACCCGATAAGAATTCGTACTCTAACAAGAATTCTATGCATTAGAGCGAGCAAGTTAGAAACATCAGAGTTTTGATGACAGCATACATACTGTGAAGAAATGTCACTACGAAAATTTTGTAGGTAAGAATACGTATTTAACAATTTTATTTAATTATAATGTAATTTCTTCTTTTAGATTGCAAAACAGCAGCGACTTAGTCACATTCTTAAGGTATGTATTGAGACTTTTTGTATGTTTATAAATTTTAATTGATATTTTTGCTTGTTTACAGATTCACTATCAGCACCTTCAACGCTTGCATCTTCATCGCCAGGAGCACCATTAGAAACTTCTGCACTCAGCTTCTTCATCGCCAGGAGCACCACCAGTACCTTCTACCCTCAGCTCCTTCATCGCCAGGAGCACCATGATTACCTTCCGCCCTCAGCACCTTCAACGCCAGGAGCACCTTCAAAGTGTAGGTCCAACTTGTCAAATTTTGCAAAGTTGTAAGAAAACTTAATTTTTCTGAACCACCATAAATGATTTGCAACTGTTAATATATATCAAA